GGGCTTGGGGTCAATGACTGAGCCGGGAACCTCCCACCCCCTCCTAGGTGATAACTCTGACCCCCTAACGATGGCCATTGAGCTGGGGGCTCTGTGCTACCCAGCCCCATTGATCTAATGGGGATCGTTAACTCTGACACCTAACAAGGGATATTGGGCTCGAGTTCTCTGTGCTACCCAACCCCATTGATTTTCTCCCCCCTCACGCTGCCCTTCTGACCCCCTTTCTCTGCCTGCAACCCCCAGACACTGCCGTGGGGGGCATCACCCTGCAGTACTGCATCCAGGACCAGACCTACAAGGAGATGCTGCAGTTCCCCCTGCAGCCACAGGATGGAGACAGGTGACAGCAATGCTCCCTGGTCCCCATCCTCCCCAAGCCGCTGGGTCCTGTCCCCCACATCCCCACCCCCAACAGGACAGAGATGCGATGGGACCTGCCCCAGGTCACAGAAGGAAGCAGGAGTCCTGACTCCCAGCCTCCCTGCTGTGACCACTAGACCCCACTCCCCTCCTATAGCCAGAGATAGAACCCAGGAGTCCTGGCTCCCAACCCCCCCCATACACTATCCCACTAGCCCCTGCTCCCCTCCCCACGGTGGCAGGAACCCAGGCGTCCGGGGCTCACCCCGTGACTCTCTGTCCCCGGCACAGGCTGCCCGTTCACCGGCTGGCAGCCAAGTCACTGCTGCTGGAGCTGGAGGGGGCCATGGACACCGGGTCAGAGGGGGACCGGCGCCGGGTGCTGGAGACCAGCCTGAGCTCGGGGGTCGTCTGCTCCCTCACAGCCTACGTGGGGGTGGACACGGAGCGGGGGCAGCCGGTTCAGGGGCCGCTGGTGAGACGGGACATCCCGCTGGCAGGTAACCCTGGAGGGGTCGGGAATCCCGGCACCAGGTGCGGTGGGGGGAGAAGGCTCAGGTGGGTGGGGGAACCTGGCACCGGGGGGAGAGGGGGGACAGGGAATTCTAGCACGGGGGATCCCAGTGTGAGAGGAGGGACCCAGAAGCATGGGAGGGGTATCATGGTTATGGGCTAATGTCCCTTTGCCCCCCTCCCTGCCCTAGCTCCCATGGGGTTGTGCTGCCCCCTCCCTGCCCTCCCAGGGTCCTGCCCTCATCCATGGGGTGCCCCTGGGGCTGGAGGAAGGGTCCCGGCTGGGGGGAAGCTGTGGGGGAGGGGCTGGATCTGGATCTGGGGAGTCACAGCCCGGCGGGGGAGGGACTGGAGCCGGGGGGATCCTGGCTCAGAGGGAGCTGGCGGGAGAGGAGGATGGGGCTGGATGTGGGGAGGGGGTCCCAGCTGGGGGTAGGGAGGAGGGGTCCCAGCGGTGCGTTGGCTCTGGGTGCCGGGGGAAGGGGTTCTTCCCTCCCTTAGCTTGTCTCTGTCTGTCTCTGTGTCCGTCCGTCCCTCCGTCTGCCCCCCCAGGCTTCAAGGCTGCGGCCAGAATGCAGCACATGCAGCGTCTCCCCCGGGCGCTATATGGATCCTGCCCGCCCATGGCCAGATGCGCTCCCCGTGCGCTCGGCTGCCCAATGCCAGTGCCCCTCCTCGGGGCCAGGGACCACCTCGCCATGAGCTGCGCCCCTCCCCACGTGCTCCCCCAGCCCAGAACCATCCGTCTCCCCCCCACACCCAGAGCTGAGCCGGGGAGCCCACAGTGAAAGGGCAACTGCAGGGAGTCCTGGGAACACGCCTCGCCGGATGCTGCGGCCCGCCAGATGAGGGGGGCAGGGGCTGGGAGTCAGGGCGCCGGGCGGGGGGCGAACACCAGGATGACGCTTCCTCGGGTCCAAGACAGACGTGCCCTGATGGTCCCGGAGCTGGGCAAGTGTTTAACGGCCACATCCCAGCCGAAGGAACTTCCTGGCCAAAACACCGGTGTGACGCTGGGGGAGGGGGAATCTGCAGCTGGGTTTTTTAAGTGCCGTGATGCAAATGATCTTGCAACAAAATGAAAAAAAAATAAGGAAACTCCCAGGCAATAAACTCTGTGAAGCTGGAATTTGGGGTGTGAGTTTGTATCAAGCGGCTAAAGTTTGGGGGGGGGGGGCAAACGGGGGGGGCGGGGCGGGCAGGGGGAATCAACCTGGACAAGCCATGTCACTGTTCTGTAACCATCTCCCCACGTCTCTCCCTAGAGCGGGCACTGGAGGAGTCTCCCCTGCTGAGGCTGGTGTCTCTGCAGAATGCCGACGGCTCGTGGGATCTGGACCCCCGGCTGGCCGCGGCGCTGGAGGTGAGCGAGACCGACGCCAGGGGGAGGATGCCCAGTCGGGTGAGTGCGGGGGGCGAGGGAAAGGGGAGAGATGGGGTGCAGGTGCCATGAGTTGAGCCTGTTCTCTGCTCCCAGATGAGACTGTGGGTGACCCAGGCTGGGGGCGGGTCTGAGGGCAACTAGATCAAATGACCCTTGAACCTGGAGCCCAGTGGGCGAGACGGGCCCAGAGTGGGGGTCTGAGACCCCACTTACAGGGGGTCGGAGCATTGGATCAAGAGGCCCCAGGGCTGGGGGGGAGACATGGAGGGCCCCAGGCCGGGCCTGCTCTGAGGCTGTCTCCCTACCCCCGGGCATGGCACTGGGCATATGGGTAAGGGGTCCATGGTGCTAGGGCAGGAGGGCTGGGAACCCTCTGATTCTGGGGAGGGGGCGGGAGCACTGGATTGGGGGGACCCCAGGGTGAGGGCATGGGGGCAGCACTGGGGGGGCAGGGGAGTCCCCAGGGCAGGGGAATTGGGGCAGCACTGGGGGACAGGGGTCTCCAGGCTGGGCGCTGTCTCAGACTGTCTCTCCTCCTCCTCCCCCCCCATTCCTGCCCCCAGGATGTGCCCCCCGGCATCTGGGCCACGGTGCTGGCCGTGGTCTGGCTGCACGGCCGGGCCACAGGGCAGCGCAATGAGTGGGAGCTGCTGGAGGCCAAGGCTGTGGGCTGGGTGCAGAGCCAAGCAGGTGAGATGGGGTCCGGGACAGGGCCCAGGGTCTCGACTGGAGAGACCCTGCCTCATGGGAACCCCACAGCCCAGCCCCCCCCCCGAGACCCCCTGCCCCAAGGGCTCACAGCCCCAACCCTGCCTCACAGGGCCCCCATCCCTGAGAGCCCTGCCCCCCAGGTTCTACAGCCCAGCCCCAGCCTGGCCCCCCAGAGCCCTCCAGTCCCATGACAGTCTCCCTGCTCGCTGTCCCAGTCCCGGCTCCCGCCCAGGTCCCCCATTCTGTGAGCTCTCTGCCCTTTGCCCCGACCCTTCCTGTTCCCCAGGCTGGTGTCTCCCCCTGACCCCTCTCTTGTTTCAGGGCCTCGGCTGAGCGAGTGCCTGGAAGCCGCCAACGCCCTGCTGGGCTTCAACGTTGGCCCTGCCATCTTCGAGCTCTGAGCTCCCCCTGTACCCGCCCCCCAAGTTACCCTGGGCTTCTGACCTGGAGCTTGGAGGCCAGAAGGGGGCACTGGGGGCAGCCCCACCTGGCCGGCCTGTGCCTAGCCTGGAGCTAACCCCCAGCTGGGATCCCACCGCTGCCTCCAATTTGGATGCATCTGCTTCCTGCTAGCTGAAGAGGAGAACTGGGCTCCACCCCAGACTGGCTGTAGCCTTTATTTTTATTTAGCATAGAGTTAGTGATGTTATCTTACCCCACCGTGGGTTCGGCTCTGGTGGCCACAGTTTCAAGCTCAACAGAGGGAAAGACCCCTCCGCTACTTGGTTCAGACTTAGAGCCTCTACGTACATCACGGTCGCTTTTTCACAGCATGACCCGTCGGCACGTCTGTCTCATGATCTTGTGACATAGAGTCGCTCTTTGGTCACTTACTTATGTCAAGCATCTCTTACGCCTAGGGCGTCGTATGGCTAAGCTGGCATCTCACAGCTGTTGTGATAAATAAAGGGGGGGGGTTAGCTCCCTTTGATGGACACCCAGCCAGCCAGTTAGCTGTAAAATCCCTCTTACTTGCTTTACCTGTAAAAGGTTAAAAAGTCCCCCAGGTAAAGAAAAAAAAGTGGGCACCTGACCAAAAGAGCCAATGGGAAGGTAGAACTTCTTAAAATTGAGAAAGAAACGTTCCCTTTGTCTGTTGTTCTCTCTGGGCTGGAGGGTCAGAGCAGCCATGCTATAAGCAGCTTAAGCCAGGTATGATTATAAATCATCAGATCATGCCTAGAACTACTTATCTCAACTCCAAATGTGTAACTAGATCAGAATGTTCAGCTAGCCGCGATTAGGGTTATTTCTTTTATTTCTTATTGACTTGTGGACTCCTCTGTGCTAACCCCAGGTGCTTTTGTTTTGCTTGTAACCTTTAAGCTGAACCCCCAAGAAAGCTATTTTGGGTGCTTGGTTTTTGGAATTGCTCTTTTAAAAGCTAGCAAAAGCCTAAGTTCCAGATGTATTTTCTTTCTTTTTGTTTTTAATTAAATTTACCTTTTTTAAGAACAGGATTGGATTTTTGGTGTCCTAAGAGGTTTGTGCATATGCTGTTTGATTAGCTGGTAGCCACAGATAATTTCCTTTGTTTCCTTCTCAGCTCTTCCCCAGAGGGGTGTGTGTGTGAAAGGACTTGAGGGTACCCCCCAGGGAGGAGTTCCCAAGTGCTCCTTCCTGCGCTCAAAGGGTTTTTTGTTGTTGTTGTTGTTTTGCATTTGGGTGGTGGCAGCGTTTACCAGTCCAAGGTCAGAGAGAAGCTGTAACCTTGGGAGTTTAATACAAGCCTGAAGTGGCAAGTATTAATTTTTAAAATCCTTGTGGGCCTCACTTCTGCACTCAGAGTGACAGAGTTGGAATTCAGCCTTGACAACTGTGGACACTGTGTTTCAGCCTTGCTTTACTTAGATACCTAATGTCCACGTATCCTTCTAAATCCCAACTGGTCCCCTGTGTCTCCACCCGTACAGCCTACCTCTGATAATGACCCGGAACGGAGCATCTGAGTTAATCATAACGTCACCCGGCGCAGCACTGACCCCATGGCCCCGTATCCCCCACGCCACTCCCAGCCGCCACCGCCTCTCTGCACTGGGGGGCGTCCTCAGGAGCAACACCACCACTGTTTGTTTTTCCAAATGACCGAGGGGTCCCTATATAGCCCCACTGAGGCAGCCATGTCTCGGTGCCATGCGAAAAGAGACCCTGTATAACCAGCCCCACCCCAAGGCAGCCGCATCTCAGAGCTGGCAAGAGGTTCCTATGTAACCAGCCCTCATGCCCCACTCCAGAGGTGGCCTCATCTCAGCACTGGGTGAGGAGTCCCTGTATAACCTGCAACCCCCCTCTCTCCCACTCCAGGCAGCCGCATCTCCGCGCCTGGCCTCACTGACCCTGCCCTGGGTTTCAGTTTTCTGATGCTAAATGGGGAGGAATTTCTCTGCCAGCCTCTGGCCGCCAGCTGGCCCCATTGAATCAATTTTCAGGTCGGTTCTGTGCCAGAACTAGGCTCTGATCCAGCCCCAGGGCGGGGCCTGGCAGCTGGGGGGAGGATACGGCACAGGGCCTGCCCCTCTAGGGGGCGCCGGCTCCCATCCAGCCCCAAGGCGGGGCCCAGCTGGCTCGGGGCGTCCAGGCCCCCTCCGCCAGCCTCGCTCGGCCTCACCCCTTCTCAATAGGTGAATCCAGCCACTGTGCCCCCCACCCGAGTGCTGGGGGGGCGCTGGGGCAGGGAGGGGCCCATGGGGCAGAGGGCCCTGCCCCTCCCCCCCCGTACATTGGCAGCCCAGGCACGCAGCAAGCCACATAAAGGAGCATTGATGCCCCCCCCCCGCCTTGGCACCGCCAGCCCCATTCACATTGTTCCCATCCCTCGAGCGGCCCCGCGCAGGGAGCGAGACGCTGCCCGGGGCTGCGGGCCAAGGGCTGGACCTTGGCGTCCCCCAGGTGGGGCGACAAAGCTCACCCACCCAGCAGGGTGTCAGATGCGCCTAGATGGCCCTGAGCTTCCCTGCTCCCCACTAGTGCCCCTCACTCCCGACACACAGCCCCCTGCTAGCCCAGCCCTGGGCTTCCCCACCCTCTCCCCGAGCTCCGCCAGTGCTCCTCACTCCCAACCCACAGCCCCCTGCTAGCCCAGCCCTGCCCCGCCCCTACCCAGCCCTGCCGGTGCCCCTCACTCCCGACCCGCAGCCCCCTGCTAGCCCAGCCCTGGGCTCCCCCCGACCCACACACTCACGTAGCCTGCATGGGAATATTTCATTTCCCCAGCAGGGGTCAGTGTTCATTCCAGCCCCACACCGCAGTCCCGCCCACTCCCGCTAGGGGCGCTGTTCCACTGGCCGTGCAACAGCAGCCGATTTCCCCTGGGCTGGCATCTTCAGGGCCAGCTCATACTTCATTTAATTAAATCGAATAAATCAGCAGCGAAGCAGCCACAGGTGTTGACTCGAATCCCAGGCTGTTCAGGGAGGGGCCAAGACAGTGAACTGGGGATAGAACCCAGGCATCCTGGCTCCCAGCCCCTGCCCCACACTAACCCATTACAGCTCACTGCCCTCCCAGGGCTGGGCAGCGAACCCAGGAGTCCTGGCTCCTGCCCCTGCCCCCACACTGACCCGCCGGACCCCACTGCCCTCCCAGGGTGGGGCAGAGAACCCAGGAGTCCTGGCTCCTGGCCCTGCTGTTCTAAGCACTGGACTCCACTCTTTTGGGGGGCAGCTAGGATACAGGAGGGGAAGGAAGTTCTGGACCCCAAAGGGTTAATTGTGCCCCCTTGCCCCTGGGGGGGGGGTCTCCCACAGCCCCCTCTCCCCCTAGCTCTGGCCCCTTTAAATCGCTGTGGCCTGGCTCACATGCTCAGCCAAGTGCCCTATTTTTAGAGCCGGTTCTTGTCTTCAATCCGACCCCCCTCGGCTTGTTTTGCAGCTTCCCCTGCCAGCTCCTCGGAGCCCTGGCCAAGGAATCCAGGCGCCTCCTGCCTCCTCCCCGCCGCCCCACGCACAGGGCTCCGCCGGTGCCCCTCACTCCCGACCCCCAGCCCTCCTACGCCGGTGCCCCTCAGACCCTGCTAGCCCAGCCCTGGGCTCCCCCCCGCCAGCTCTGCGGGTGCCCCTCACTCCCGACTCGCAGCCCTCTCACACTGGTGCCCCTCACTCCTGCCCCTCAGACCCTGCTAGCCCAGCCCTGGGCTTCCCCCTGCCCCACATCAGGACAGGAATGCAAAGGCCTAGATTGCACAGTGGCCACTAGGACAGAGTTTGTGTTTTTGTAGGTCCTACTCAAACTGTGGCTGCAGTGTCTCTCTCCACACGGCAAGGGGTTAATAATCCAGGCGCCCCACCCAGGCTGAGCTGCGATTCGGGATGGGGGGGGGGGGGGGTGATGTTTTTAAAGTGGCTCCGGGCCCATGACTCTGTGTTCACAAAGGGAACACGATGTTCAGGCCGAGAGTCTGGGGCGGGGGAAGGGAGCACCGAGGGCGGGAGCTAAACGGAAGGGGGGAGGGGAAGGGACAGGAGGGGGTTGAGGGTGTCAGAGGGAGGTTGCGGGGTCGGGCGCTGAGGGGCTGGGTCAGAAAGAGGCTCTCAGTGCTGGGATGGGGGGTGACACTTTTCTTTCCTGGTGGGGCAGCCGCCCCGTACCTCCCCACTGTCCCCGCATTGGCCTCTGGCCTTGCCCCCCCCAGGCACTTGGGGGGCTAGGATGTGACCAGAGCTGGACCCCCCCCAGTTCAATCCCCCCAGTGCAGTTTCCCTTCCTGCCCCCCAACAACCCCCACTGCACCCCCCTTCCCACACACACCCTGGGACCCCTGCAGCCATTTCTGCGTGGAAGGTTCAATCCAGCAGTGGTTCAGCCGGGAAATCCCCTCCCCCCAGCCCCCCCCCCGCAACGAGCCTGGAGGTGGCCGGGGACTCGCCCTCAGCAGTGTGGGGCCCAGGACCCTGAGCCGTGCGGGCCGGTGGGGGAAGGTTCCGGTGGCCGGTTGGGGCGAAAGATCCGGCAATTCCCCACGCTAGCTTTGGGTGCCCCAAGGGGTTCTCAGATACTGGGTCAAACTGGGCCGGCCAGAGCCGAGCAGCCAAACAGCTCAGGGCTCCTTTGCTCCAGCTAACAGACGGGCCCGTCTGTCCGGGGGGGCCCAGCCTTCCCGGGGGGGTTGGACGGGGACTGGCCTCCGGAGGCCCCAGACGCCCACTGGGGAATGTTTCGCATGTAGGAACTGGGATGTCCTGTGGCCCCGTCGGAATAACTGCGCCTGACGCCGGCTCAAAAACCGCCCTGTGATGCCGGATGCCGGGCCGCTGGGACCCAGCCTCTAAGCAAAATCCTTGCGCAGCCGTGGCCTGCTCAGCCCGCCTGGCTCGCCGGGAGGGGTAGCGCAGCCAGGAAAAGCCCCACTGGAGGGAGCGAGATGTGGGGCTCCGCCCAGAGTGGGACCCCAGGAGCCGGGGGG